CCAATCAAAAACAGAGAGCCGCACACATACACACTCAGATCAATCAGAAATTAAACTGACCCATAGAGATTGAGTCTGCAGAGATGACACAGAGGTCTGTTTCCCTGCCTTGTAAAACTGGATATAGCTTTGGTCTTCAGTGTGATGTTATTATTTGTTAAATTGAATTTTAATTGTCTAATAAACCACATGGCTTATAAACGCTATGCAAGATGTACAGTTTTACTATTATGACCAAGTGTGGCTTGAAGCATCGTGGTCTTTAGCAGAATGAAGTGTATTGGTTGGGGGTTGTACTTATGGTTGCATCTTAGACAACATATGTTCTGTATTTTATTAGTAAACAGATGCCCCTTTTCTTGTCTTTACTTTTTTGGGGTTAGATGTTAGGTTTAAGTATAAGGTTTAAATTAGGTTTCGGTAAGGCTTAGTTTGGTTTAGGGTGAAGGTCAGGGTTAGGCCATACAAAGGGCTGAAAATGAATAGAAGACAATGCAAGGTCCTAAGTAAGTATTTAAAACACAGGTGTATGAGTGTGTGTGTGTGAGCATTTGTGTTGTCTTTTCTATGAGTGCATTTAGCCCAATGAAGAGGTAACAAAGCAGGGCACTCATTATTTATAAGGTCACCAGTGTCACAATGACCAGACCGTCACCTGAGCCACCATGCTTGCAGATCTCAGTTGAATTGTTTCAGCGATTGACTAGTTTATGTGGGTACATGATAACACAAGATGTAAGTGTTATCATTTCCAGGATATTCTTATATTAGGAAAAAAACAGCAGAATAAATTGGTCTAAAAAGTCAACTAAAAGCAATGTTTTATCCCGATACACTGCTGCAGTAAACTGATCTACTTTCCTAAAAATCTAAGCATTTGTTCAGTTCTTTTATTTTCTTGATTGCATTGTTACATTTAAAAAACCCTAACTGCTTTTCTCTCATTTTAGTAAATATAAGGGTTGCAAATTAAGTCCAAAAAGCATTTATTGCCTGAAAACATTTAAAACTCAGTGTGGGATAACCTAGGATCTTTCCGTTTTATCAATAAAAAATTATTTCAGAGATCTCAACTCAGTTCCACTTCCCCTGTTACTGTTGTTGTACATCATGTTCTACAGAGCAGGCTGCTGCAAACTGAACCGTAAAGTATCCTGTTTAAGCAGAGCAGAGGACAGTACTTGCAATCTTATACTGGTCAGAGAAACAGCTACACATTTCATTTTACTGATACAGTGACAAGGCATCGTAAATTTTTCTATATGTGCCCTCTACAGCAGTCCAGCTCTACAGGCATGAGAAACATTGTGCAAATTTTAAGCTTTTGCAAAAAAATTATGTCCGGATTTTATGACCACACAGCTCTGTTGTTTAATTAGCAAACAATCCCATTACAAAATAATTTTAAAAAGCTAGAGTTATTTTTAGGTTTGTGTAAGCAAAAATCCATCATTTGTAAAGGCAGAGGTAATTCCATCAATAAAGCACTTCTCTCTTAAGATGATGTATACATTTTTGCTTAGATGTACATCCTCAAATATTTGGTATTATATTGTACTAGGAAGTTCATGAGTAAAACAAGCTTTTGACTGCATTTATGGCCCCAACAAAGTGCTTTAATTTTGCTACTTTTCCTGGTCACTAAGAAGAATTCTTTTCTCTATAAATATAAATGGTGCCTCTTTCAATGTAATTTAATTGAATGCTACACAATACATATTGAATTAACATTTTGATGATTATAAAAGATTATAAAATAGAAAACATCTGGCATATACTACAAGTAGTTTGAGAAGTTCTTGTATTTTCAGCAAGTTTTTTTTTTTATTATGTAAAACAAATATTAAGACAATCTAAATATAATTTTAGTTTGAAAGGTTGCTTTTTGGTATAATACATTCAGAAATTATTTACAGTACAACAAAATGAACATGCTCTGTTTACTAATTAGATAAGTTCTGATGGCATTGGTTAATTAAGAGATTATGACAAGCTTTATAAATTTTTTTTTAATGAAATTTTTCTTCCACTTAAGCATTATAGAATATTTTGTGTTGGACTATCTGGAAAAACTCCACCAGAATAATCTAACATATTTGAATGCAACTCGGAAAGAATTTGAAACGATTCAAGTAGTTTGAATACATTACTAAGGCGCTGCAGAATTTTTTTTGTGTCCTTTAATAATACTATCCAGTGTTTATTTTTTCACTGACATAAGAACACTGACATAAATAAATACAGATGGGAATTAAGGGCTGGATTTTACAAAATTGCAAATATGTCTTAAAAAACTAAGAACAATTAAGTATTATACCTGTCTGGTGTATATCTGCACTGATGACATCCCATGGAGAGCAAGAACTGCTCTGATCAGCATGTTTTAGTAAATATTTAGATGAGCAGGTGACTATTGAATGTTTTAAACACTGATTGTGAAGCCTTCAGGGGGGAATTTCAGTTTCAACTGGATTCAGCCTTACATGTTTGAGTCAGAGTTGATGATGATGAATACTGATGGTGAAGCAGAATAAAAAGATGACAATAATTTTTTAACTGAATCATTTTCTATCCGTATTTAAATTGTTTCCTTCTGATACAATTTTTAAAAATCTGATAGCATTACCCTTGATCTAATGCAGGGTTTTCACATATGACTTTTTTCCACTATAACAATAATCCTCACACCATTGAATACAAAGATATGCCTTTAAGGGAGGAAACAAATTTAAAAACATGTAAATTATGTGGGGAGAGATAAAAAGGGACATTTTAAAGTTGTTTTATGCATTTCCTTATGCAACAGGTGTCAAGCTTCAGTCAAATTCTTGTAAAATGTTGATGTATGCCTCAGCACACCTGAAACACATAATTAGGTCATTAGCAGGAACCATTAGTAAAACTTGAGTCCATGAGGAAGTAATTTAGTCCCTTGATTTAGATGTTCTGGACTCTGAACACACTCAAATGTTAAGGGACGCCAACATGTAGGAGTGGAGTTTGAACCACATTGCTTTATGTCCTATATGACTAAAAATCAAGTTGCAGTTTTACTTTAACCTTGATTGAACTACAAAACAGAACAAAAAATGAAAAACTGACAAAAACGTATGTTTCAATTGGTAGTAGACTATATTGATTAAGGCAGTAATATGTTTTCTATTGTTTTCAGCAAATGGCGGTTCTAGATAAAATATACAAGGGGGCCATGATAGGGCCAGAGAGCAAACAAACAGGGCAAGAGTCCCTCATTTAGTATATTATGTGAGCCACAAAGCCAAGGTTGCAGACTCCTTATCTAACCAAATGAAAACTGTGATCCTATCTTAATATAACTGAAGCTTAAAGCAAACTGCTTTTTTCAAAATAATTGCTAAAATAAACTATTAAAGTTAGATATTAAATTGGTCTAAGGGACAAATCAGTTGCAATCTCTTCTGTTTGCACATATTATTATAATAAATCTTTTAATGTTACACTGCAAAAACTTTTTAAAAAAAAGTAAATTAAGTAAAATAAGTATTTTGTTATTAATTTAAATTGCTAGTTATGATGATCTGTCAAAGGAATGACTATTTCTGCTCTTAAAAATAATAGAAATCTTATGCACTTGAAATAACTAAATGGAGTTTCCTTTTCTTATTTTAAACATAAATAATATCATATTATGACAATTTGTCTAACTTACTTGCTCAATACATGAGAAAATATACTGTTTTCAGCATAGCTATTTCTAGTTGTTGTTTTTACAGTGAATTTAGGGTCCAAACTTCAGAGGCGTAGCCAGAAATGTTTTATAAGGGTGGTCAGGCAATAACCAATGTACACTGAGGGGTGGCCGAAAGCAGATAGGCACAGAACGTCAGGGTCAATCTACACTGTTCCAACAGGAAAATTAACGAGCAAACCGTCCATATTTTCTAAATAAAGGTGAACTATACTTTCCTACAGCTTTTGCTAACAAATAGACGCATATATTTCAACATCCGGAATTTCTAGATAAAAGGTATGGTGGATAAAACTCAGTTTTGACTTCTGGGGTGTAAATCAATCATCATTGTCATTACTTACCTACTTGTATCAATAAGCACTCTGCATAAATTGATATTTACAAGCACTAATATCAACATAAATTGATTATTTGATAAGTTTTTTATTTAAATTGTTATTTATCTTTGATAAACGCAGCTGCTGCTGGAGTTGGAAACGTTGAAGTTTTGCTGCTTGACGCGCCACATCAACCCATGAGAGAAGCTGATCTGGGAGCTGGCAGGGAGACAGACACATCGCTGCTGATGCAGATCGCTATGATCACTCCTCTGAAAAAGTGTATTAATGCCTAAATTAACTTAAAGTGTAGAAAACATGTTCGCTTTTATTATCCTGGTGCCTGCAGTTTGGATTAGGTAGCCTACATAACAAACAGCCAGAGGCTGCTGTTGAATGGGATTTCCAATGACAGAGCACCGCCGGTATGTGGGGGTCTGAGCGACTCTGACAGCGAAATAATATTTGAATGCAGGATAGTAATCTGGATGAACTGACTGCACATATGAAGTTTTCATGTGGACTTTCTCACTTAAAAAAAAAAAAAGAAAACTACTTTATTCCCACTGATCACAGCAAATATAGCTGCCATTGTTACATGCAAAGAGAGGACAGGGTAGCTCCGCCAAATGTGCATCAGACCCCTTCTCCACCTTTTTGCTGCTCTTGGTGTGAATATAGCATTAGAGGGGAAAAAAAATGGTAGGGGACATGGCCACCCCTGGCCCCCCATCTAGCTCCGCCTCTGTCAAACTTTAAAGTAATTCTGTAAGGAATAAATAACCCCCTTTAAATTGTTTTTCTATTATATTTTCCTTTTTTTCCTTAGTGTTCCCCAGTAAGATTCGTGCTTATCGCTGTTTGAAGGTGCAACAATGTGATGAGTCCATGTCTCTGAGGTTGTCCCAGCCTCCTGTGTGATTGGACCGTCCCTGCAGTCGTTACTAGGGGCGTGGAGCCATGCGAACTGAATGGGAAACACATTTTAGAGCCTGGAAGCAGCTCGTGAACCAAACACTAAAGGGAGACGTTGACAAGACGATGACAAAGGAATACAGCTGTCCGAGTAAATTACCTGCAGGGGAGAGCTAAACTGAACGAAGCTGCGCGTTCATTTATCAGCTACGGAGAGCAAACAGTCGGAAGGATGCGAGGAGCTGCCATGAGATAAACGCATCACATTTGTTATGTTCTCACCCTGGCGTGCTTGGTTAGCAAAGCCCGGGCTGAGGCTGATATAGGGCGTTTAAAAAGTCCGTCATCCTTTCCCTGCTGTGGACGGTCGGCTAACATTAGCGAGCCTTTGCTGCGGACCTAACGGCTTGTGCTCGGACTGCTGTGGGAGGCGCACCGCCGCCTTTCTGCGTGTTTATTATTTTTTTTAATACACAAGGTAAGCAGTTTATTTTTATTTTTTGTGTTATTAATTTTCTGGCGTGTGTTCACAGGTTCGTGTCACGCGTGGGGTGGGTGTATTTGAGCGCGTGCAGACGCGGCTAGCTTGTTCAAACTTAAGTTTTAGCTTGCTAGTTTTTTGCTGCACCTGAACGAAGCTGGCCTCTGCAAAACACTGTTTAGCGTTTTTAAACCACATCTGCTGACTTTCTGATGTTTAAAAAAATTAAGCTACTGCTTTTTTGTGAGTTACTTTAGGGGGTTACAATTTACAATTGATTTCATTTTTTTTTTTTGCATTTAAATGACTATTTAGTGTCAATATTTCTTTTGCAGCCATTGGATCTGATGAAATCTCGCCTGTGTCATCCATCCCAGCGCTATTTAAGGCCTCTGCTGACAAACTGCGTCACCGGGTGGGCGCTGCAGGTATTCATCTGCAAGAAGGAAAAACTGCATTTGGAAATTGAAGCCATGCCTGAAAGAACCTGGAAACCAAAGTGACTGAACTTTTTAAAGTCACCATGGAGCCGGAAGCCAAACCCAACTGTGGGGCTCTGGAAGAGCCCAAGCATTCATCTGTACCCAGTTCTCAATGCAATCTCTCCACACACATGCATGCAGCAGTGGGGGCTGATAAAGTGAACTCTCTAGTGAGAGGTGGAAGTGATCCTTCCTCTGTTTATCAGAGGAATGTGCATCAGAGATTCATCAGGAGAAGTCTGTGGTTTTCAAACACGGAGGAGCCCTCCTATGAGGCCCCCGAAGCTGAAAACAGCAGCAAAATCCTGAACATAAACCTGAGATCAATAGTGGACAGGACACGAGGGACCAGCTGTGGGGTTCAAGAGAGCTCCAGCACTGAAAGTCAGAGTGGACACAAAGACAGTGCAACAGAGAGTACCAGCGCAGATGAGGACAAAGAGAGAGTTGGACATGCTTTAAATGTCACTTGTAGTAAAGGTGGTAAAGTTTCTACTAAGACAGCAAGTGAGGAAAATGAAGAGGAAGCAGAAATGAAAGCGGTCTCTACGTCTCCAGGAGGAAGGTTTCTTAAATTTGACATCGAGCTTGGCAGAGGGTCTTTCAAGACAGTCTACAAAGGCCTGGATACTGACACCTGGGTGGAGGTAGCCTGGTGTGAGCTGCAGGTAGAGTACACACATTTAAATTACTGTTAAGAAGTTATTTGTCTTGTTAAAAAATATTAAATCAGGTCTTTATCACAGAAATAGTTTAAACTTGGGTTCCAAAAAAAACAAACAAAAAACAATCCACTGGACTTGGTTTCCGAGTTTGAAGACGTTTCGCTTTAAACTTGGGTGTTGAATGTTCATTTTTGCAACAAATGTAACATAAATTCAACAGTGTTTTATAAATATTTCCCCATTTATCCATTAAAGTGGGGTCTTTTTGTTAACCTGGCCCTCAAGGCATGCTGCCTTTAGATGTTTCTGTGGTTCAGCACAACTGCTGTCAATAGATGGCTGATTAACAGGGTTGTAGTGATTGACAGTTGTCTGAATCTGAGGTTTTTAAAGCAGAGAAACATCTTAAACATGCATAGCAGTGTGCCTTAAGGACATGTCCCCAACCATCCTCTGATTTTGCAGAGAAGTTGATCAAAGTACAATTTCCTTGAAGAGGTTACAGATTGAAAAGTTATTTTTTAAAACCATCAAATCACTTTTTTTTTCAATGCTTTAATTGTAGATCGCAGATTGAAGCCAATTTCTTGACAATTTATTTATCTTTTGAAGCAATGTGTAAACATCAACCTAAGTTTCTTAGATGGATTTTCTGTTTCTTTGCATCCTTTATATTGAAATTAATATAGAGAGAGAAATCAAGGAATCTGAAAAGTTAAGAAACTACACTTTTCCTCAAAGTAAAATTTAGATGCATATAAAGGCATAAAAAAAAAAATAAAATGATTTTTTTCTTGCTTTTAAATAAATGGGGAAAATCCCTAGCTTAAAACTGTACAGAGGTATTAACTAATTATTTCCGTCCTTTGGAGTCTAGCAGGGATTATCTCTCTCTCTCTCTCTGTCTCCCAGGAGGATTAATGGTGAACATAGTACACAGCAAATCCAACATGCTCAAATCAACACTGTCAGATTTGATTTTAACACTCTTGAAGTGTCTATATGGGTCCACACCAGAGAGAGTTAATTTGACTCTTTTTGGAGAGTTGGCACCGTAACTCTTATTTAGTGTTAAANATACTTACAAAGATCACTAGTTAGCTAAACATGATTAGGCTATCACCGAAGCAATGTAGCTAATGCAACGTAGCAAATGTCTATCACACGGCTCTATTTTGACTCAAACAACGCCATAGAGTTAGAAAGCAAATAAAATATTTAAACCATCTGAGAGAAATTACTTACCAGGCTGAGTAAACGGGTCTGAATAACAATAAATGGAGACTGAATTTTCCTCAGCTTTGTTCGGTACCTGTTGCATTGGAGGCGGAGTCTGTGAATGTACTCTTTGGGTGTCAAATCCACTGTAGGAGTTTAGAGTTGATAGACGAAGTGTTATTTTTTTCCATTTTAACACCTCCAGATTTAGTATGCAACACTATTTACTTAACACTCTGTTTTAACTCGTAATATGTGACACCTCAGAGTTATATTTGTTTAATATAACTCTATTAAGTGCTAAATTAACACTGCCTTTGAAGAAAGTCTACTAACACCATATTATTTAACACTTTTGAATTTGCTGTGTAGGCATGACTGACCCCTTAATGAAACCAAATTTATACAGTATTTTTCTACAATCTAACGCATTAAGGAGTTTGACTCATGTTAAATAAACAGCAGTTTGTCCAGGTGACACTGTAACACTACCTAACCTGAGAGGACAGTGTTGGTGATGCGGCTTGTGACTGGTTCTTCTCCCCAAATCTCTCCCTCTGTGCAACAGGAGGTAGGGAGGGGAAACAGCTGTGGCCTGCTGGGAACGCAGCCTCAGCACCGTGCCTGAAGAGATAAAACATGCTACATCATAGCAGGCAGAAGGGAGAAACCTGTTATTATAAATGCATAGTTATAGTTCAGTATGGAAACGATCAATCAGGGAGAGACTATAGAGGAAGTAGGGTTTGTTGCTTTTGTAATCCTGATGTCATGCACTGATTCCATGACTTCCTCATGTTGACCAACACAGCAGCTGCTTGGGTCAGAGGATGTACAGGGAGCAGTTTGCTGTTTCTTCCCTTATAGGCAGATTAGAATACATAATTTAAGAGAAGATATAGCATTGTCCTACTAAAAATGACTTCAAATTACTCTTTTTGCAGATTGACCTATTAATATTGTACTTGATCATTGTGGTTTTGCATTAGTAAGTGTATTTTTAATCAAACAAAAAAAGCCAACATTCTCATTTGACAATTTCCATTTTGCTTTTATCTCTTTCAGCGATTATCTGCACCACGTTACAAATACATTTTCCTTATTTTATTGTCTTTAAATAAGCAAACTCAAGTGGAATACAAAACAATTTCAATCTTAGTTATATATAATGTTATTTCAAAGGGTTTGATATATAAACTAGCTCTTATCTCCACAGTAAGACCTCTAGCTTACATTATTTCACTAGCACTGGTGATTGAAAGGTGCAGGTTTTGTTTTTCTTTTTTTATTAAATCTGTGCATCATGCATATAAAACTCTTGCTTTGGAGGATTTTTCAGGCAGTAAATCCTAAGTCTAAAACAATTATGCAACCCTGGCTTTCAGTATTTGTCTGGACAGTTCCTGAGAAATGCTCCAATGTTTAATTATTTTTATGATGGTATAAGATTGGCAGATGTGTCTTAAGATTTTATTTTGTTAGGAAATTTAATGCATCAAAGAAGTGTCAAAATGACCTAATCCACAATCAGTCTTGTCTATTTCTCCAGATTCAACATTTAAGCATTGGTAGTTTACCTGTTTATACTTGCAAAGTCTTGAGGCTTTCTTAAACCCATTTCATTCTAACTTTATTTTCCTTCAAAAATACAGCTCCATTTTAAACAATGATATTTTGTTAAAACAAATGGATTTTGTAGGGCTCTAAATGGTTTATAAAGTCAAAAGTATAGAGGGTGACTAAATGCAGTGATATGTCTTAGACTTGCAGCACATATTTGCAGATGTCGTTCCAAAATTAGAACTAGAACATCTTGCTGTGATAACAGCACAAATGTGCAGAACAGAAATGCAGCGTGCAGGACCTCCAGGATAGGTCTCCTTCATTTCTATGTCCATCCTGCTTAGTTTTTTTTTTTTTTTTTGTCCAATCAGAACAACAACCATCACATCGGTGGCTTTGTCCACTTGTACAATTCATTTGAAAAAAATAAAATAAAATACATTGTGGAGCACAGGAGGGGTTTGTGGGTGTGTTTCTGCTGGGCTGAGGCATAAACCATAAAGTGAGGAGATCATTAATAAGGAACAATTTCTTTAACTATCTCTTGTGTAAAGCTGCTAGTTGGTAAAATGCCACTTTTCCAAGGGAGTGCCCCTTGCCTGTTATCTGATATTGTACTTTATTTAATCATATGGATAAGGGGAAACATCTTATGATTTTTTTTTTTTTTTTGTTTTTTTATAACGTTGAAGGGGTTTAATTCCAAACTACTGCTAGTAATCACTGCAAATTCTGTCAACACTTTTTAAAGTAAAGGAAAAAAAAATTACTGCAAAAAGGGATCTTGACTTGGCAAGCCGCCTTGTATTTTTTTTTTCCATCTGTAAGCACTCTCTTTAATGAGAGGAAATTCTGCAGTGTGCAGTCCTGCACCAAGGGTGGTGTATGGATCACAAACCTGCAATCCTGTAGCTCTTCAAGGAGGTGTCAGCACTTGGACAGCAAGATTTATGGAGTAGTTTTTGGTATGGAGGTCAGCAATGCTGCCCCATGCTGTGAAGGGAGTTGTATTTAGATAGTCTGCTGTGATTTGTTTTCTGTACCTAAACTTCCAGGCAGACATGCTCTTTTACATTTCATGTGCAAAGAGCTTGAAAAGATCTTTATGAAAATTGCAGAAAGCTAACTTGCCCCCAGATTCCACATCCTCTGTCACCGCCCTGCTCAAGTACGTTCTGCGGAGCACTTGCGCAGTCGTGCTAATCGATGAGAACAGTTCCACATCCAATGCTACTCCTCCGAACCTCACAGTCCACGTACGTCTTTTTCGTACATCACAGTCAAAATAGAGAGCCATGCTATTTTTGCTCTACTCCAGTCCGTTGGCAGCCGGCAAGGTCAATGTCTGCAATTGCAATCGCAATCGCAGCAAACAGGAAAAAGAACATTGAGAAGATCCGGTTTGTCAAATTAAAATAGGGTAACGACAGATCGTTAACAAAAATTAAAAGCATACTTTTATATATGCCCATTCCTAAAGAAGAATTGGATGCAAACTGTTGATACTTTAGCATACAAGAAAGCAGCTTTTTCATCTCGATCAAATTATTTACTTTATGCTGAAAGGCTTAAAAGCTTCGTCAAATCAGTCACAACAACTTCCAAGTGTGCATGGATGAATAGTGATTTTGGAATTAGAGGGAAAAAAAGTATTTTGTATGGTCCTAGTTATCCCTATTACAAAGATTGATAATGAAAAGAAAATGTTTGGACAGAAACTGCCCATATGCTTTTTTTTTTTTTTTTTTTTTTTTT